AAGACTTGAACCATGGCTCCTTTCTGAAGAGCCACAGAAGTCCCTGCTTGGTCTCTTTTCAACACGAAAGAACAACAGTCCCAGCAAGCCGGATGGGACGCTCGTCACACAACCTGCTTCTACCTTCTGAGCTGTGATAATTTCAAGGCAGGGGAGATAAACATCATCCCTTTCTGGTCGAACTGAAAGATTAACGAGAACTGAAATCTTTGGTGTAAATGTTAAGGGAGAAAATGAAAGTGTATAGATATATACTGGTGGGAGAGATGAAATGTGATTCAGGATGCATATGCAGACATCACAGGTAAATATTAACACAAGTTTCTTGTAGATGATAATGTGTGCAACTTCAGAGAAGCCCTCTGTGAAGGAAAGATCCAAACATACTCTATCTCTGAGAACAGTTTCAGAAAGTGCCTCCTTCTTCAGCTCTACCTGTGCCTGAAACAAATACTGTGCATCTGGCATAGAACTCTAAAAACCTCGGCCCTGCTCACCACGAAGCAAAAGGGAACCCTTCGTTTCTTTTTTTAATAAAGGTATATTTTCATATAAAGACATTCAACAGTGAGCAATGCAGTACAGTTCAAGTAACAGAGTTAAGAGATTTTTTTTTTTGTTCCCTATGCAAAACCAAAAGTCAGCTAGTGAAACACAAACCCTTCAGACTGAGTGGTGATGGAGGGGAAGAGCTGTGTCTAAGCTACAGGAAGCCACGAGGGACAAACCTGAAGTTAGGACACTACAAAAGTAAAGGTCATGGGGAGCTAGCTTAACTGATTGATTAAACATGAATTGATTGAAGAACTGATGCAGAAAAAACCCTGATTTACTTGTTTCAAATCGCTGGCTTTGTTCTGTTGTAGTTTCTGTGGTAAACTTGAAAACACCTGAGGGTTTTAACAACCAGAAACTTTGTGGTCACACATTGTGTTACAAGTTTAGTTTACAAAGTCTTACTAATTTTCTTTGTTTACTTTCTGCTTTTAGGAACTCGGTCCGATCCGTCCTAGTCTCAGCGGGGAAGTCACAGTGAGTACCTTGTTTCCATCCACCTTTCTGAACAGAAACATGACAGGCCAAAATTGAAAATGCCATCAATTTAAAAGATGTTGGCATATCAGCAAAGTTAATCAAGAACAAGGTTTAAAGGACACGTATTATGCAAAATTCACTTTTAGAGCGTTGTCTGATATTCACATGGGTTTCTGGGTGTGTAGAGACACAAAACATGAGAAAAGAGCAGTCCCTGCCTGTTTTGCTTTTTCCACATTAGTAAAAACCCCTGTTCGAACATGCTGTTTGGATTTGTCTCTCTTTACGACGTCCTAAAAAATGGCACGGCGATTAATTTCATTTCATCCTCCCACTCTGAGCCGTTTCGGTGCTATCGGTGCGCCACTGTGATTTTCTCACTAGAACAGCTCACAGGGACGCACGGATTCTGCTTGGTTGTTGGTTGCACAGACGAGCACAAACGTCTCTACCTACTTCCACCCTCAGAGCCAGTGCACACACAGTGGATATCGTATATTTATGGCAGAAATGTTCCTGAAGATAACCCTACCAAGTTGCATGTCAGAGTGCTTTCTCAACGAGGGTCAGTACAGCACTGGATTTGTTTCCAGACTGAAGCTCAACAGTGGATCTATTTCAGCTGTCCGTGAGTCTGCCTCAGATCCTGATTTAGTTATTTTACTGCTGGTGTATGAGGTTAGCCTGTTTAACTTAGCCACAATAGTCACAATGGGGCTTGTATTACAGGCCGAATGGCAGAAACAGGTTCAGTGTTTTGATGAATATACCAGAGAATTTGTGTGAAATTTTTTTAGCCAAATTTCCTGAGTAGTGGACAGGATGGTGGTAACTTTGCTTGTTTATCTAGCATCGTTGTAACAGCACTAAACTTTGGTTACCGGTGGACAACACTGCCCAGGTGTGATAACGAGTGGTGTGACAGTAGCAGGCTCCTGCGGCTGTTTAGTTTTTGGTGTAGAAGCGGTTATTATGGTGAAATGTACGGTAGAAATGCAGCTAACAGTGGCTAACAACGATAGTAGAGCTAATGCTGAGGATCTGAAAACACGGCTTAGTGTTGGTAGACGGCTCCTGTTCAGTGCTGACCAATCAGAGGAGACTGGGCTTTTAGGGAGGGGGCCAGGAGCTAGAACAGCATGTTAACACAGAGGTGAAAGGGTTGGTCTGATGCTACTGGTGCTCTGAGGAAACTAATGAACTTTATGAACATACAAAGGTGTAAATGTTTTCCTGTAGAACCTTTAAATAACAATATAAACCTGAAAATGAGCACAATGCAGGACCTTTAAATAACTGCCTTTTGTAAAGACACACCGCCAGTTTTGCTTTGTAAAGGCAGAAAACTGCAGCCTGGCAGAAATTAGTAATGATGGGGCCAGGTGATCTCATTACTAATTTCTGCCACGTGTGTGTGTGTGTAATCCTAGTTTACATAAAAATGTATGCAAATTTTCTTCTGCCAAACTTTCAGAGATGTACTGAAGCAGTTTTACATTAGTTGACTGGAACAGGCCAAGTTGGATTTAACACTGGTAACTTGAGGCTCAAACTGATTCAGTCTCCAATAAAAAATAAATAAAGGGAGACCACTTATTAACAGCTTTGTGCCCCCTCCTGGCTCATCACAGTAGACGCTATCTAGGGTGGGTCACAGGTCACTACGCCGTAGAGGACACTGAGACAGGCGTAGACAAACACATGGTGGGCACAACCAAGGTTGTATCACTGACTCACAATGGCCTTCTTCCTAAAACCTGACATGCGCGCCTTTGCACGGACCACGGTGTGTGTATGTGTGTGTTTGCTGGCTTATTATGCTGTGGAAACACTGCAGATGACAGGAGGGAGGGTGTTCTGTTTGACTTTGTAACCAGGCATTTAGGAACAGGCGCCCTCACAAATGTTATCCTGTAAAAAAGAATAAAACGCTGACTAGTGGGGGTGGGGGAGCGACTCGAGAACAGCTGTTTGTTTAAAGCGGGGTCACACAATCCCCTTCTTTGCAGCTCTACTAACCTTCATTAGGACCTACATAGCTACAGATTATCAGACAGGCAGAGGCAGGACAACTGTCTGGGGACACTGGGTCCCCCCGAGATGCAGCACTGACCCTGTTCAGCATCTCAGACATGTCTACCCAAATCAACAGCCAATCGGTGAATTTCAGTTGTCTAGGAAGAACAGAATGCAACGGGCTTGTGTGTTTTTTCTTCAGCGTTTGAAGATTGGTTTTAGTCTGACAGAAAATCTTCAACCGGTTACAAAGTCAAGCACTGAGCAAGAAAACAACAAAATCCAACCAACCAAACTGAATTTCACTCCCAAAAGCTTCACATGCACCAATCATCTCTTGGACGAGAGATTGCACGTTCTTTCAAGTTTTCAGCTGCGGCCATCACCTCCATCGACTGTTACAACATTTATCAAAGCTTATCGTTTCTAAAGGTTTAGACATAAAACAGTCCCAGTCGTCACCCCGCGGTTGGTAGCAAAAATTCTTTTCACATTTTTTTTTAAACCACACAAATTGGGTTTTAATTTTTAAGGTCAGACACTTTCATCCAGAGGAAGGTGAATCTGACCATCTGCAACCATGTAGGGTAGTGACGTGTGTGACCACAGTGGTCAGCATGTTTGTGATTTGGTCAAATACTGCTCCCCGTGCAAATGTCTACAATCCAACATGGCCACAGGCTGCCAGAACCGGTGTCAGTGCACCTTTTGTGAGTCCATGAGGCAGTGGAGCAGTGCCGCCTGGTGAAATACTGGATTTGAACGTTGGTTTCACCCCAAACACCTTTGAAGATGCAACCTTCAGCTGGAAACCAGGAACAAATATTGCTTGGACGTTTTCTCTATTAACTGATCACTGATCACTTTGTTGGGCTGAAAAAAGTCCTATAATGAAAAATGTCTAAAAGCTTTTTAGAAAACTACATTTTCATTGAAAAATGACTTGAGGCTGTAGTTTTAGTGTGCGCAGGTGAACTAATAGACTGGACCACAGAGAAACATCTGGAGCGCCGGGGTCACCAGTGAGGCTCGTCTAAGTGCTTCTCACTCAACCTTCGGTGCAAGTACCATTTGGTTTTTCAAAGGGCTGTTTGGTGCACAAGCTCATGGCCCAAACCTTTTTTGTGTGGTCTCAAACACACCATGTGTTTGCCCCTCTTCACTTTCTCCATTCACAAAAACAAAAGAAAGAAAAAAAAAAAACTAAGAAATGCACACTGGTGGACTTGTGGCCCTCCCCCTCCTTCTTCACACCAACTTTGGTCTCTGGTTCTGTGATGCTGCCATTTACAAACTGGCAAAATAAGAGTTATGTTCCAGTAAAGGAAGGAAAGAAAAACTCTACAGTTAGTCTAAAACCTTTTTCTCCTTCTTTAAGGACTACAAAACTGTTTAGTGTCACCTGTGCCCCCACCCTCCCCCTGAACCCTCAGCAGCAGTCTACAATGAGGAACACCTAATGGTAAGTGTCCATTGTCTTGTTATGCTACATCGCTTTTGCTTTTGTACGGTGTGGGACAGAGGACAGACACTGGACATCAGAATTTACCACAAACAAAGTTAGAAATAAAAAGAAACATGAAAACAGATGTTGAAATATAATCATCTGAGGTGAAGAAGAAAACATAATGGGAATGTTTTGTTGTTTTCAGTCGTGTGATTTTTTTTTTCTTTTCTTTTTTGAGCGTCTGGTAAATAGAGCTGGAGTTTAGGTAGCAGCGGGGTCAACCTGAAACTCTGAAGTCTCCTACTCCGTTTCCTTCCTTCTTTCGGTCACTTTATTTTTTTCACATTCACAAACATTTAAAACTCCCTTGTGCAAATCAAGCAGTCTTTAGAAAGAATGCCCTCCGAAATAGTTCTTGTAAAAATATATAACTCCAAGGTGGCTGATGTGTGTGTTGCAGCAAGTGTTTAATTCGTTTCTATCTTTGTTTCCGCCCCCCCCCCCCCCCCCCCCCCTTCATTCTCCCTGTTCTCCCTTCCCGAAGAGGGGGCTGTTTTGTTGTCTGTGTTGGGGTGCAGCCAAGCGGGTGGGGTTCATCTGCGTCCGGAGGGCATCTGTGCGTAGACGGGGTATGCGAGGCGCACATTGAGCGAATCGTTGTGCTGCACCAGGGAGGTCTGGTGGTAGTGGAGCACCAGGTCCTTAAGGCTGCTGTACAGGTTGTAGGGCTCAGCGAAGCCGAAGCCGCGCGGTGTGCTGTAGATGACGCAGTGCTTCACCTCCCCGTCAACACTGAGGAGAGACAGACAGGTTCAGTTGAGCTGACTGGTCAGGAGTTATTGTTAGATTCAGTGTAACATGATACATTTTAATTATAAATGTACATGTTTTGTCTGCATTTTCAGGTAAATTCTTCAAACCTGCTTTGTTCTCTAATTTCTGCAGTGTCTAATTCAACAGTCCTGCAGTGCATCCTCCTCCATGCACATGATGTTCAGTCTGTTTCACAGAAGTGTTGGTTCACCTGCGCGATCACTGTGCTGCATTGTACTGAGAGCTGTTTCTGGTCTTTATTGTAGCCTGTCAGTTAGGGCTGCCCCCAAATAGTCGAGAGACCTGTTAGTCGACTGAAACTCTCCCTGTCAAGGCTTTGTTTTTATTTTATTTAGGGCTGTACCCAACTAAGAATTTTGTCAGTTAGCTCTTCAGTGTGACTAATCCACTATTCGTTCTTTAGTAAGGAAGTGTACTGTCTCTCGTTATTGTGCCAAATCCATATGGCAGCTTGACATTAGATATCAATTTCACTATTGCATCACAAATATCAGAAATTCTATTTATATAAATGAGAAACTATATATCTAGAAAAAAACATCAGGCTGCCACATGGATTTGTCACAATAACGAGACAGGCAGCACACTTGGATGTCTATTGGGACAATGCTCTTAGAGGCAGTTTTTCCTTCTGAGACGATGTTACAGCCGAGTTTACCAACCAGGTTAAGCTTCTCCCGTCAGTTAACGACAGCGCATGTTGTTACTGTGTCTGATGTGCGCCAGCTCGTACTGCCAGCGATTCCTCTTATTTATAATTCATCATTGAAATGTGTTCCTTGTGCATTTTTATTAGCTTCCTCCTCCTGTTCAGATGGAGGTATGTCACAGGAAGTCTGTAAATGGCTGTGCGTTGCATTTTAACAGACAGGCAAAAAAACAAAACAAAAACGGACTCAACATGAGGCAAACACCAGCCACATGGTTGCGACAGTCTTCTCTTGTAAAAGTAGACTAGGATGTACATTAAGGTCAGATCTATTTGGCGAATTGTAGAACGAGGAGAAAAGGGCAACAAACCCCACTAGGACAAACCTAGTATTAGCTTCCTACTCTGAACAGGAGTAGGAAGCTAATAAAAATGCACGGGGAACACATTTCAATGATGAATTATAAATAAGAGGAATCGTTCGCAGTGTGAGCTGGCGCACATCAGACACAGTAACAACATGCGCTGTGGTTAACTGATGGGAGAAGCTTAACCTGGTTGGTAAACTCGGCTACAGTCATGTGAAAAAATTAGGACACCCTTTGAAAGCATGTGTATTTTGTAACATGATTTAATATATGGTTATATAATCTCAATTTTAACAATACAGAGAGATTAAAGTAATACAACTAAACAAGTAAAACTGAAGAAAAGTCTTTTCAAGATCTGTAAAATGCCTATTCTGAGGAAAAAGATAGCACACCCTCACATGTATGCCCTCTTAAAATGGCTCAAATCACACACAGGTATATCACACCAGGTGCACATAATTAGTAGATCGTTACTCAGCATTTTGAATGAGGCTTGCCCTATCTAAACCTCAGACATTTGGTTTGGTGTGCTCCTGACTGTTGAAGTGAGAGTGAGTACCATGGTGAGAGTGAAAGAGCTGTCAGAGGCCTTCAGAAAAAACATTGTAGCAGCCTATGAGTCTGGTAAGGGATTTAAAAAGTTCTTAAAAAGATTTTGAAATCAGCCATTCCACTGTCCGGAAGATAGTCTACAAGTGGAGGGCTTTCAAAACAACTGCCAACATGCCCAGGTCTGGTCGCCCCAGCAAGTTCACACCAAGAGCAGACCGCAAGATGCTAAAAGAGGTCTCCAAAAACCCTAAAATGTCATCGAGACCTACAGCAGGCTCTGGCTACTGTTGATGTAGAAGTGCATGCCTCTACAATCAGAAAGAGACTGCACAAGTTTAACTTGCATGGGAGGCGTGCAAGGAGGAAACCTTTGCTCTCTAAGAGAAACATCAAGGCCAGACTGACATTTGCCAGAGAGAATGTTGACAAAGACCAGGACTTCTGGAATAATGTTCGTTGGACAGATGAGTCCAAAATTGAATTATTTGGACACCAGAGCAGAGGACATGTTTGGCGTAAACCAAACACAGCATTCCAGGAAAAGAACCTCATACCAACTGTGAAGCATGGAGGTGGAAGTGTCATGGTTTGGGGCTGCTTTGCTGCAGCAGGACCTGGTCAGCTCACCATCATAGAATCCACCATGAATTCTACTGTGTATCAGAAGGTGCTTGAAGAACATGTGAGACCATCGGTTAGAAAATTAAAGCTGAAGCGCACCAAACTAAATGTCTGAGGTTTAGATAGGGCAAGCCTCATTCAAAATGCTGAGTAACGATCTACTAATTATGTGCACCTGGTGTGATATACCTGGGGGTGATTTGAGCCATTTTAAGAGGTATTAGGGGCTAGGGTGTGCTATCTTTTTCCTCAGTTAGAATAGGCATTTTTGTAGAATTACATTTACAGAAGATCTTGAAAAGACTTTTCTTCAGTTTTACTTGTTTAGTTGTATTACTTTAATCTCTGTATTGTTAAAATTGAGATTAAATAACCATATATTATATCATGTTACAAAATATACATGCTTTCAAAGGGTGTCCTAATTTTTTCACATGACTGTATAACAATGCATCAGAAGTCAAAACTACCTTTAAGAGCATTGTTCCAGCAGAAATCCAAGTGCGCTGCCTGTCTCGTTGTTGCGACAAATCCATATGGCAGCCTGACGTTATAAGTATGTGTGTGTGTATGTATATATGTATATATACACACACACGCGCGCTAAAAAGAAAAAACGAATAGTCACACTGAAGAAAATCCTTATGGCGCTGCTGTCATTATAACCCAGTACCGCTCAACTGCAGCACAAACTCAACCAACACCTCTTACATTAGACTGCCTTCATTGTAATTTGTACACATTTTGTTTACTTTTACTATTTTTATTCCAATCAACTGGTATGATGAAGGAAATTTTACTTTTGCCAAGCATATAAACAGTTGTTGATGTGCTTTACTGATACAAAATGAAAGGCAGAATTATTCAGGTATTATAGCCCCATAAGTATCTGCAAACTGAGGCAAATGTAAGTAATGGTCAGCTATCTGCCTAAACAGTGTCAATAGAGGAAATTCTGTCCTCACACCAAAGTTAAACTAAGAATCTTAGTGCCAAAAAAGTGCAATGTCTCTTATGTAATAGGTTTCGTGTACCTCCAATTCTTGGCTTTTGCTCTGCTGGTTTTTTTTAATTTTTATTTTTTTAGACTTCAAGACAGGCTTACATAAAAGTTAAGCAGTGTTCTACACAGGGGCACCTCTTTATTAGGAACAGTCGGAGGTAACCAATTCAATAGCTCTGACAAAATGTTCAGTTTGTTGTCTCTGTGCTGTAGATAGTGATGGTGTTGTCTTGTCTGGTGTGTACGCACACTACGGAACAGGCATAGCAGCCCTTTTTGCTGCTCTCTCGGATGAGAAAAGCTCCGTCCGGCTTCCCGAGGAGCAGGTCCTCTGCCTGCGTCCTGTTTAGGTCCCCGACAAACCAGCTCTTCTCGTCATAGTGAGGCAAGTTCTCATCCTCTTCACTCACAAAGTAGCTCCTGCACCCACACATTCAGTTACACAAAAAGAAATATAAGGTGAAGAGGGAGGATTTAGTGCCACAGAAAGAAATCCGTTTGCAGTAAATTAAATTAGCACAAGTTCCTCTGTGCATGCAGACATATACAGCATGGCCTTACTTGGCTTAAGGGTGTGTAGCGAGATTCTCATCCTAAGCCAACATTTTACCAGGAGAAACAAAAAAGCAGACTCACTCGTCAGTGCTCTCATTCAAGATTCCCAGCCAGTCGTTAATCCGTTTCTGACGAACTCCTTTGTGATTGAGCCAGCTAGAGAGAGAGAGAGAGAGATATGACTATTACAACTAGGAATCAGTCAAAAATCTAGGAATCTTTCATTTGCAGCATCATTAAAGGTGTATTGAACATGCATGAGGCTGAACAGAAATCAAATTAGCAAGCCTCCAACAACACGTATTCATAGAATGATTTGGGAAGAGCCCGGCTCTGCTGCGACCGTCTTACTTGTTCCTAGAAGTAAAACAGGAAACGTCAAACTGTCTGGATGATGTACTGTTTACTGTGAGACACAATTTTTGAATGTCAGATTCCCTTTTTTTTCTCCTAAGATATAAATGTCGATTTGCGAGGAATATCAGCTCATTCTGTGTGGCAGCCAAAAACCCATTCCCAATTTTGGCTCTTTTACTTAACACATATTCCATGGGTTCCCAACCTGGGGGCCCCAGTGAAATACTTTTACCCCTGAAAATATTTCAAATAAAATATTCTGATGAGAAAAAATTTGTCTAATAACAATTAAACTGTACACCATAATCTGTAATGAAGACTGGCTGCAGTAAAACAATTTCCCATAGAAATGAATGGAGAGGGCTGCATGTATTTCACACTTTTGAAAATTGAAACTCAGTCTGAACACGGCCTTACTCAGCTTAAGTGTGTGTAGCACTAAATCACAGCTCCCAAACAGAAATTCTTGGAGCTGATGTGCTTATGCTAAACAGCTAGGTTTCAATGTCACATATGGATGCACACCTTCTCTGTAGCTGCTCAGCTGAGTGCTCTTTTTTTCTTCTAACAGCTGGTGCAGTTGCTATGCCTCTAAGCTTAGGTTAGCACAGCAGGAAGAGACGTTTTGATGAAAAGTCCAAATCAACCGTATCCAGACAGTCTGCAGCCAACATGAGAGCAGGATTACCAATTTAGCTGGAGCATGTCCTTCCCTTTCAGACCAACATGGCTGGCTTTCAATGAGTCAACATGTCAGTCAACCTTAGCTGAACCCAAGGTCGCCTGACACTTCACTGACGCTGGTGATGTTTAAACTTCAGTTGTGAATGTTGACTGACTGCTCTTTGCTTAAGAGACCAGACAGGCAACACCTACTAGAGTAATAACTAAATTATTGTGACAACAAATCCCAACACTGTGTCCACATCTTGTCTTGTTGTAAAGTGATTAGCTTCAAGTTGTAGACTCAACTTGAGCTCTGGGAAACTGATGGGCTTTTTCTAGTATTATGTTGATTTTACAAAAAAAAAGTCTCCATTAACACAAAACATTACCAGAAATGAAAAATTAAATCAGTTAAAACTATTGTATGTATAGGGGCAAACATAGTTTAACTATGCTTTCACAAAAGCACATCCTACACCGGGTTTAGGGAACAGCCAACAGCAGAGCTTCAGTCCATGCTCCAGAATTTACTTACACATCTTAATAATCCTACTTCCTGAGACAAACTAGTCCCAGATGAGGACTCTCATGTAGTATGTGCACTCAAGTCACAGAGATAATCTTGTGCCAGCCTGAGACATTGTGACCTGACCTCTGTTTTAACCCTGTAACGTTGTTTCATAACACTCTGTGAAGCTATTTCCCAAACCCTCAGATTTTTCTAACAACATGGAACCAAAATAATCCAGGAAAAGTGCCATTTTAATCAGTTTCTCTCTTCTCTGGCTTTTTGTGAAAAGCAGCTCCACTTTCACCAAAAGAGCGAGAGAAATGACATTTCCTGTCCCTAACTTTGCTCAAATGAAAAGAACTGGGAGGCTGTTTTACTTAAGAAACTGACAAAAAATATTTTTCCCAGACTGGACTGGATTTTTTTTATATTCATAGAAATCAGTTAAAACTATACTCATTAGAAGAGTCTGACGATTTGAGAAATACCTTCAGTCAGTGGCCAGTCAGAGAATTTTAACTAATAGACACATCACTAGCTAGATCAGGTCACGCTAAGAGGAAAGGATTTTGTGGACTAATATTCCAAGGTGGAAGCTGTGGTGGTGATGCTGAAGTCATGGGACTGTTTTGCTGAACAAAACATGTAAGTGTCAAACTGTTTTCTGCAATAATCCAAAGAGCCTATGGAAAAAATCCCATTGGCATTTTGTCAAGGGAACCACGGTGATGCCATCTTCTGCGTTGGCCTACAATATGTCATCACTATTGTAGTCTTGGGAATAATACTGAGAAATAAAAATGGCTATCATCCCCCTGAGCTGACAGCATTATTTCAGGCTTGTTTATTAGCGATACAATGCTGTCTTAGCCGACCCCAGAGTTAAGTTTGATCTCATCATTATGGCACAACTCTGCATTACTGATGATGCCTTCTGTACTCACACTAGATACTGGTCCCTGATCTTGCGGAGCTGTATGAGGTCTGGCTTCAGGCTGTTCATCTTTTTGTCTGTCTCACGGTTGTCCATGGCCTGTGTCTTCAGGTCCTGCTCCAGTCGCACCTTGCTGTCGTGGATTTCGCCGAGCCGAGACTTGAGCTTCTCATAGTTCATCATGATTCGCTCGATCTCTTTGTCATTGCCCTCGCGGCGGAAGCGTTCGATGTAGTCCTTGCTGTAGCGCTCCTGTGTGTGGCACTGCTCCTCGAAGATCTTGATGGTCTCATTGAAGGCTTCAATGGCCGTCCGCTTCATCTGGATCTCCTAAGGGCGGACCGAAGAGAACAGTGTTGTGGAAACATAACTTTTCTGTTACAGACAAAGCATTCCTTTGTTTGTCTGCATTGTGTCTGTCTGCCTGTTTATACTGCTTATTTTGCATTGTTTGCACCGTTTGTTGCTTGTTAATACTGTTTATTTTGTTATACTACAGCCTTATGTTCGTTTACTGTTTACTTGCCCCTTGCATGGGGATATGTACATGCACATTGAGAGCCGATGTACCAGAGCCAAATTCCTCATGTGTCCGACACACCTGGCCAATAAAGCAGATTCTGATACGCAACCAAAGTTAGGTCAGAATATGTGGGTTTATGTGTACCTGTGACGTCTTGGTGTATTCTTCATACAGTCTGTCATACTCTTTGCTCTTCTCCTGGTACTGATTGTGGTATTCCTGCAGCTTCTTCCCTACAGCATCTATGTTATCCTCCTTAACTAGTTGGTCCTGGGGAGAAGAAATGACTGCATTAGCAAGAGCACTGTTCACAGAAATAGAGCTTGCTGTGGAGGATGAGTGTCTGTCTGAAACAATTCACATCACATCCAAAGACAGCACCTATAAGTTGCCTTCGAGAGCCACTGCCGTAACCAAGATACACAACTCGTATGAAGACGAGAAAGCGCAGGGGGTGTTGGGACAGACAAACATCATCGGCTCGCCGGAGACTACTGACTTCTCTCGGTAATCACAGTTACCTCGGGGATCCTTTTGGGATAGATTTGGAACCAGTGGTGGAAACAGTACTCAAGTAAAAGTGGCAATACAACAGTGTAAAAATACTCTTATTACAAGTAAAGGTCTTGCATTCAAAGTGTTACTTAAGTACAAAAGTATTATCAAAACATACATTTTGGCACATTTCGCATTCCTGTATATCATATTGAATGTTGCAGCTGGTAAAGGAGGAGCTAGTTTTAACTAGCTTATATGCATTTAACTTGAATTACTGCTCGGTAGCTTGTGACTTTTCCAACATAGGTAAGGAAAGAAAGTCACTTTCGGCTTTTCCTGTTTAGGGGTCACCACAGCGAATCTGACGACTCGCATGTTGACATTTGGCATGTGTTTTACGCCAGATGCCCTTCTTGACGCAACCCTGATTCGAACCCGCTCTCGTCGCTGCGCCTTAACCGCTAGCCTACCAGGGACGGCTTTCCACCATAGATAAGGACATGAAGTTTATTGTCAGATAAAAGCACAATTAAATCATGGACAATCGTGATTAATTGAGGAGAAAATTTGACCATTTAGGCAAATTTTCCTCAGATTTACACTGGTCTCAGAAACGACCCCAAAAAGTCCGGATATCCAGCTAAATCCGGGGGGAATTCCTATGCCTGTAAAGACCAAAGAGCTGCAAATATCCACTAGGTAAAAGGGAAAATGTTCTTTTTGAAATAAAGTGGATTTCAATTTACATTTTTCTGTAATGCATCTTTTGGACAATGTGCACTCTGTGAGTACAGACCTGCTGGAAGCGGGAGATGGGGTACATGAGTTTGACGTCTAGCTTGGTGTTGTACTGTGCCAGAGACTCATGTCTGTAGTGGCTGATGAGCTCCACCACTGAGCTGAACGTCAGTGGGTCAGAGAAACCGTACTTCCCATCCCGGTGATAGATCTTTATCAGCTTGTTGTTGCCGCCTTTCCTGAAGAGAGCAAAGGCAAAAAATAAAAATAAAAAATACAGGCAATAAGATGAGAAAGTATACATGCCATATTCAAACCTTAACAATGGTAAATGCTGACAAATGGTCTCTAAAGAGTCTCTCTAACATTAACAGCTGGGCCTACACCCCCTGAAAAACTATTTCCAAGGCAGTGGGCGATTTGCTCCAATTTACCAGGATGCTGTGTAAGCAGAATGCTTCTACACATGATTTCCCTCAATCTGTAGTTTACTGGAGGGATAGCTGCATAAAAGTGGAGCAGCGGTACTCTACTGCTCCTTCCAGCCTCCAGAAATTCCCCTGGGTTTTTTTTTAAACACACTCCATTCATGACTGATACAAACTAAGACTTTACCTCAGTGTGAGTGTGTAGTCACCCTGCATCTTGGTGGAAGCATCCCGAACCAAGAAGGTCCCATCAGGCATGTCTCTGAGTTTATCATTCACCTCCTCCCTGAAGGCAAAAGCAGAAAAAAAAAAAATAGCGGGAGTTGGTCGAGAGATCTGTGCACAGATGGTGTTCATTTTAAAAAGTCTGCCTCCAATTATCAGTGGCAGGCGCTGAGGACTTTCTCCGCTGCCACACACCTCAAAGTAAACAGTCTGTCGATTAAACAATGTTGGGAGTGACTGGACGGACTGGTCCCAGCCGGCAGCTTCTCTGCTCTGCATGGCTGTGTGTGTCAAAGGTGGCAGACTGGCTGTCTGCCCTGTAGGTGTGGTTATATCTGACTGTGTGGACTGCGGCTGAGAGCTAACCCACACTTAGCAAGGTAAGGCAGTGACTAATCATCACGTTTACAGATTACGTTTAAAAGACACAGACTTTATGAAAAGGCCAAGACATTGTTTGGTTTTCTTCTGCAGACATTCTGAAAGTCACCTCCAGGAAAACTGGGAGATTTAAGGGCTTTGTAACAAAAGTGGGCATCATTCTACAATTTTCAGTACCGATACCTTGACATGATACCGGTTCCTAAACAATACTTTTTTCGCCATCAATTTCATAAAATCAGTTTGAACTAAATATATATTTGCACACATACATACATTAAACATTTTGGTACAGATCAGTTTTGTTTTTCAATTCCTTGGCATTTTTGTGCACTCAAAACAGTTTCATAATATAAGGAGTAAACCTATTTACCACTGCCTTACGTTCTGTTAACATTAACAATAATAAATAAAAATACACAAAAGCATTTTTCACTACTTGATTGTATTGAAGTATTTCAATCGATGTCATAAAAGTATCAAAGTTCGTCTTGATGCTTTTCTTTTCTCTCTCTTCTATCTACTCACCCCAACCAGTCGAGGCAGAAGGCCACGGGGTCTGTCTTTTGTTGTGACTTGGCACCATACAAACAAAACTGAACTGAACACTATGGAGTGTGTACAATTTCCTGCATAGAACACAACTAAGCATTGACATACATGCAGGTTTTTAAAAAGCTTACTAGACACTTTTCATGTCTATTTTTGCACTGTTACACACCCACTTTCTATCATTCTGCTAGCTACTATCAAATCAAAGCTGATATTCCCAAATTATTTACATGCATCTCAGTTCTGTCAGTTGTATCCTCTGCCTTTTCAAAACACCAAACAGGCAGATTTTTTCACACAATAACTGTGAAAAAAAAATATATATCAAAACCTCATGCTAATGTGTATTTCTTCTGGCCAATCAGCTGACATGTCTATGAAAAGATAACTGGCCTAGCTGGTGTTTCAGCGAGTGTGTTACCTGGATATGTCGCCCCAGTACCACTCGGCCTCTTGCAGTGAGCCTGCAGCTCCTCCGTCCTTGGTGCTGTTGCTGCTGCCCCCTCCCACCACGACTGAGCAGGGCTGCTGGGGCTTTGCCGGCTTTGGAGGAAGAGCTGGAGGGGAGACAGAGAGAATGTGTTATTGTTTTAAGAGTTGGTATATTCAAACCAACTTCACCTCAGCATTTTGGGTTTTCTGCAGTTCTGCTGCAAAGTTCAACCATCTATCGATGACTGCAGATGGAGCTGAGTTGAAATACTGTTACACCACCCAAGGTATAAACCTCCAGATCTTTCCCCACTTACTATATTTGCATAAACAAACAGTTAAAGAAGAACAAGGTGCATTTTTCCATTCATTCTGAAACAAACATATTTGATATGCAAAAACACAAAACACTGTCTCCACCCAAATGCAACAGCAGAGCTGTTTGTGACCTCATTGTTATTAATTACACAAGCAAACAGTGGCATGATAAACAAGTCACAGATCATCGCAAGAATGATAAACCACACACATACATGTAAGAGCCTGAGCGTGAGTCACTGGCTGCTTGCAAGAGAGTTCAGGTCCTGAAGAGGGAGAGATGCACAATGCTGGGAAACGGACAGAGAGTCTGTGTGTGTCAAATGCAATTTGTGAAATACTGTTCAGCCTCATGGAAGATTATGCAAGTTTGACTCAGGACCACAATGTGTCCATGCAGACTGCCATCTGGTTTATTTCTTCCTAGAGATAGTTGCAGTTTTAAGTCATAATTTAACCAAGGTGTGTTTTTTTTGTTTTGTTTTTTTTTGGGTGGGGGTGGGGTTGCTACTTGTGTTTAGATTTAAAGTTTGGCTTCTTCTCTTAAATGAAAAAAGTTCCTTTGTATAAAATGATATTCTTCAAAGTAAGGTAATAAAAATATTATGTTGGTATCAGGGCCAAACCAGCTCGACTAATAGCAGGAGCTAGAGCGGCCTGAATGCAGACCCTTTCATTTATATTTACTGGAGGTCAGAGACTTCCCCTTTAAGTCTGGTTAATAATAACCAAACCAGAGTAGCACTTGAATGCTAGGAGACAGGAGTTCTTGTGTGCCCAACAGGACTGGACTGAATATTACCCATAATAACCACACATAAACTGGAGTGCACTAAGGTTTACAAGTCTGGCACATCTGGATACAGTTTAAGGAACAGCAGTGTAATTACTGGAGAGCTCCTACGTCACAAATCAGTTGGCGCTCACATACAAACACCGAGAGGCACACAGAAGACTGATGTGGACGGTGTCCTTGAAAACGGGAAAGTCCGCTGATGAATGTAACCTGAAGCAGTGCCAGAGGAGCGTTCTCCTTCAGCAGAGCCCTCGTGTGAGAGAGGCTGGAGTGTTCCAAAACATTCTGGCCTCACAAATTACCAGATGACACGCACGCACAGTTAACACAAACAGACAGAGGAATTCCCACAATGCACAGGGGCAGCTGAACAGGGCTGGAGAAGTGATGTGCGGGTACATTACTCACTGTCTGATCTAGTGTTAATATGTCACTTCAAACCTGTGTGGGACTGATTGTTTTGGTCACTGAGGTGCAGCAGAGGTGAAGCTGAACATAACGTATTAAACAGTTATGGCAACAGCTGCCTATTCCACACCCAGCAGAAACATTCTCATGTCACTGCAGGCTTGTTGAGTGGTAAGTGATCAATGGAAATCCAATATTCACTCTACTTTCATTTCATTACTTCATTTCAGACATAAACCTGCTGCACATGCATGCAATTGTTAAATAAAGCTGAATTATCTAGTTTGCATGGCTGACCTGTGGAAGCTGCCAACTATAAGAGGCCAGCTGGGGCCCCAAAACTAGTCAATTAAAAGTGTGACATATGTTTATTTTTAATAACTTTTTTAAAGCATTTTGGAGCCATTTGTAATATTTAAATTTCCACACAACTGCAGCTAAGGGTTGGGGTGGACGCAACAACTTCTACTGTAGACCGCATTACCTGACCACCTACAACTCCTAACTCGTGCGTGACTGCGCGCGCACACACACACACACACTACAGGACGTTGTGCAGCAGGACAAGGTCTCAGAAGCGACCAGTCTGAATTTAGTAGCAGCGGTAAACGTTAACCTAGAAGCTCACTTCAAGCCAAGACCTCAACAAAACAGATTTGACTAAGAAAAATAACTGGTACATACACAGACCCAGAGCAGATGAGTTCCATTTCAGAGGAAGGTACACAGGTGCACTGTGGCAGTTTTTATTTGTTCTCATTCAGCCCTCCTGTCCTCACTTTCCTCTGCTCCCTCTCTCACATCACCACCAAAGTCAGTCACTGCAGCCAGAACTGCTTCCTTCTGTCAGCACTTTACGGACACTCACACACATGTACAAGTGCACTTGCATTCACAGCATGAAAACAACAGCTCGAAAAATCCAGGAAATCACGAGGGATTTTCAGATTTCTCTAACAGAAGCTAAACACACTGCGCTTGGTGTGTTCACATATCTCCAGTGCACGAATACAAGGGCTGCTCTGAATAACAATAAGTTGGGCCAGCAGGGCTGCAACTGATTATTTTTTATTAGCAAATGAATGTGTTTTTGTTTCATTATTACAGAATGTAAATATATATCTTAAACCTGCTCAAGTTATTTCAGCAACATTTTACAGATTATTTACAGTTTATAGTTTACACAGACATGAAAATCAACCAAAACACATATCCATGCACAAAGACCCTGACACCAATAAAGAACATGGCTAAGTGATGGGTATTAAATCATCATCACCATCATACTGGCATTAGTTTTTGATGATGACATCTAGTTTTAGCAGTGCTATGAGGACGGTGAACAGGACACGCACATAAATTGTTGTCAGTGACCTCTGCAGCATCTACGGAGCCGAACCCTGCAACTCTTGATTCAAATCAATTTTATTTGTATAGCGCCAAATCACAATTAGTCATCTCAGGACACTTTCCATAGTAAGGTCTAGACCTTACTATTATTATAGAGGAAAACCCAACAAATCCACCTGATCAATACTTCTGATCAGTCTGTTCTTTGAAACATCTGTCCTGCATAAACAAGTCAAACTCACTAATGACAACCCCCCTAACAAAGACGACACACTAGGAAAATGTTGTTAAATATAAAAGTGTAAAAAAAATACAGTTGTCGTGTTATAAATCTGGAGCAGTATCGGCCACAACTAGTGCATGAAATACTCCGACAGAGGGACGAGGAACAAAGGCGACCATCAGCACAGCTTTCACTCCCATCGTCCCCCCCCTCCCCCTCGGCAGACAAAGGAGCAGCGCTCTGCCACACACACAGCGATAACACTAGTCATCACATGCACATGCAGAAACCCACAGCTCTCCTTAACAATGACTGACAGAACAGACGGACACACACAAAGCATCGGTATGGTTCTTGGTCAGGTTTTGGCAACACACCAAGCCTTAAAAAAAAAAAATTCATCACATGTGACACTCCAGTTAATTTCAGGACAGCAGTGACCTGATGCTAACAAAGACCTTCGCCGAGTTCTCACAAACCAGTGAATTCATGCACAGACTACAACAACAACAGACAGCATGTGGCATGAATTAAGTGTTTGAAGGAAATCTGCCTCTCAATCTGTTAACTTCACATCTGGATCAAGTAAAACTGCAGGTGGTGTGTGTGAGAGCATCTACAGCATGTGGGTGTGTTTCAGCGTTACGGCTATGAAAGCACACACACGGAGACGCTTGAAAGCTTAAAAATCTTCCCACTTTCCAGTGTGGTTCCAGATTTCTGCTGCAGCTCACTGTGTACATAGTTTTGACAACAAAATGTCAGAACAGCATAAAAAGACAGAGAAAAGTAACAAATCTTCACCAGAGGGGTTGTATTTCTGCTGAATAACTGACTTTCTAGGGATGGAATGACTGTTGCACCATTAATCTCTACAAAGTTGTAGAGTACAAAAGCACAATGAGCAACAGAGAACGAAGACAAACGTGGACACACGTTGGGTCTTGTGCCGCAAAAGGAATAAAAAAGGAGAAGGCTGCAATGACATAAAAGGTAAAAGAGCAGAAAAAGAAAAAGACAGAAGTTTGAAACCAGTAAAATAAGCAAATAAATGGACCCACAATGCAAGAGGAAAAGTGGGTTAAGTCAAGAAAGGACAAACTGATGCAGAGGAAGAAGAGAAGAAAGAACAAATCCTGTCCTTCCATCCCTTACCGTCCTCCACCATCGCACTCTCTGTCAGATGCATGCTGCCTCTCGTCTCTCAGCTGTTTCCCTCCACCCTTCTCCTCTTTCTCTCTCTATGTTGCGCTCTCTCTCTCCTCCTCTACCTCCTCCTCCTCCACCACCACCACCACCACCACCTCCTCTTGCTGCTGCTTTCTGTTCCCTCAGACTGAAGAGGAGCAGAGGAGAGTGAGCCAGGCTGATCCTAAAAGACGCACTAATCCCTGCACGGAGGCCCGCCCCCTCAGCCAATCAGAGGGCAGGGAGGGCGGTGAGTAGGGTGCGTGTGTGTGTGTGTATGTGGGGGGGGTCCCATCTCATGAGACAGTGAGTGACAGAAAGAAGTTACAGTAATATATCAGCACCAAACACTCATACACATGCACACACAGAGCACTAAATCAACAGGTCGTTCCTACTGAACAATGCGAAAGACCCAATGCTGATTTCAGTCACTACTTCCTACATGACATAGACAGTAATCTGAGATCACATATGCAAATAATTATTTTCTTCATTGACTGTTTCTCTGATTTATCATGTGCAATTACTTGCTAGACAGTTAGGCCCGGCATAGTGAAATACTTGTGTAATTTTATGTCTTACATGCTGGTCTTTCACCAGCTTAAGACAAAAAGATCTCTGCGAATGTTTAGGTTTAACTTCCATCCATGAAATTATAACAGCGACTAAGTTCGCCTATGAGAAGATTCATCACCATGACGACCAAGCAACATATCCCCCGATGAACACTGTAATACAGTTAAAAGCTAACAAGAGGAGTTCTTCTGTCATACTATTATTTCCAAGGTCAGCAATGAATTTTGATGTACACCCTGTGACACTTTTCTTAATCAAGTCTC